GCCATGGCAAAAAGGTTAGCCATCACTGGTATAGATAGTGTAGGATGGGGGGGGGGCATATATTTGTTTCATATTTTATATGAACTGAAAGCCAAAGAATAAATTGTTGCTATTGGAGCTGTGGCAGTTTGGGAGCAAGATATCATTTGAATCCTGCTTTTTCTAACTCTGAGGGGTCCTTCGTGCTCTTGAACTTGCCTGTTTTCTTGCAGACATTTCATTACCCAAACTAAGTAACATCCTCAGTGCTAGTAAGAACTGCAGTTTGTTGTGTTTATATTCTAGTGACTTGCCTTGTCAGTGTTGGTGGAGGGGTCTTAGAGATTCTTTGGTTGGGCTGTTGGCTCTTTGAGAATTTCTTGATTGTGGTATTGTTTATTTGATTGTTGGTCTGATGTTAACCTTGCAGTTAATCTATTCTGATCTGGCTGCTGATTGCTGGTGGAGAGGTGCTTGGGTCTTTCTGTTCTTTTTTGGGCTGGGTGATAGTCTCTTTTGCGTAGTCTATAGATGTTGTTAATGTGTATGTGTCTATTGACGACTGATTTGTCAGTGTCAAGCTTCTAGAAATTCCCTGGCATTTTTGGACTTGGCTTGGTCTAGGATGGTCACATTTTCCCAATTGAAACTATGATTAAATCTGTCTATATGTTATGAAATTAAAGAATTTTCATCATGTCTTCTGACTACTAGTTGATGTTTGTGGCTGTGTTCTGCCAGTCTTTTGCCTGTTTGTCCTACATAGTGGTTATTGCAGTCCTTACACTGTATATTGTAGATGAGTCCTGATTTTTCTTCTGGGTTGTTGGGTCTTTTAGTCTGCTTATGATGGTTTGAAGGGCTTTAATTGGCTCGTGTGCTATGCTGATTCCATGTGGTTGTAGGAGCCTGTTGGTAGTTTCTGAGATATTCTTGATGTGTGGCAGTGTAATTCTTTTTAGGGTTTGTGTTGGTTGTGCTATATTAGGTTGAGTGGTCAGGAACTTTTTGATAAAAGTTGCGTTATCTGTATCCATTTTGTTGGAATATATTGTATAGATGCTCTATTTCCTTTTTCTGCTGTTCCAGGATACTCTAATGTGTTTGGGCTTATTTAAATGCTTATGCAGCTTCTCTTGTGGGAGGTTGGGTTGTTGCTTTGGTAGTGGAGTGCCTGGTTAGTATGGGTGGTTTTTCTGTAGACTTGTGTTTTTAATTTTCCATTGTGGTCTGTGCTGATCAGGATGTCCAGGAAGGGTAGTGAGTTGTTGTTTTCTTCACAACTTATTACTCTTCCTGGACATCCTGATCAGCAGAGACCACAATGGGAAACTAGAAACACAAATCTAAAGAAAAACCACCCATACAAATATTCTCCTTTATTAGTTTTTAACTCTTACTGGTTGGTTGGAGAGACAACTGTTCATGGTGATTCCTGCTTGTTCTCAATATTTTAAAGCCAACAGAAATGAATGCTATGGCTTCAAATTGCTTTCAGAAGGATTGTGGGACTGAAAATTAAAGAAAAAATATGCAGCATAGAAAAATTCAGACTATTGTTGCATTTGAGTTTTTCTCAACCTTAAATTAATTTATTTACAGAAGTGATGCTAACAAGCATCTGACTGTAACCTGATCTGATTTCTTTAGCTCAGACGACTAAAATCTTTGGGACAGACCCCACATAGAGTCACGTCAATAAGACGTCAAAAAGTATTGAGAGGAAAAGCAGGCTTGTTGCTATACAGATTTCACAGTGGCCTGCAGTCCCCCAAAGCACTTTCTTTCTTTTTAAAGGGTGTTAGCTCCCCAAATGTTTAGTGTCTGAAATCACAGCATTAATATTTAACTAAAATTAGCAGACAGAAAAAAGGGGAAGTTACTTAATCAGGGGTTCTTTATCAATGTAAATTGTCTAGTAAATACCATCAAGATATTCCAAACCATGACTGGCTTCAGTCAAGCTAAAGGATATGTCTTACCACCATTACCCCACTTCTTCTGCAAAAATCACAGTTACGGTGGAGTGATCACTGAAGATGTCATGTACATTCACAAAACCTTTCAAACAGCCTAAAAAAGGAAAGGAAGTGGAAAGAAAATCAATAAATAAAAGAATGGACTGCATTTTGCAAAGAGTAGAATAAATTCCAGGAAGTATATTTGTCCATTGCTTACACTTGGACAATACCAAATCAACCCCTTTTAATAGTTCCATAACAAGTTGCTCGAGAACTACATGCAGTTCTCAAAGCCCTATGCAATTCCTAGACTCCCTCTAAAATTTGTCACTAAACTGTAATATTTAATACAACAGAAGGAAGAAATGCTTAAATATTTGGAGACCAATCCTATTAACAATGTATAAATGAATTCAATTTAATTTACATTCAAATTAATTCATACTGAGTTTGTCCTGCCTTTACATGTTGCTGAGTGCTGACACTGGAAAACAATGTAACCCTCAATTTAGGAAAAGCCGTTTTGCCTCATTTTTTTCCAGCCTGGTACTGTCCTGGCTTATTTTAGCCACCATATCTGGAAGGCAACAAGCACGTGAATCAGTTACACCAAGCTAGTCCTTATCATTTTGTTTCTTTCCTGACTAATAAACTGTTTATTGATAGGTCTATAATAAACTGCTGCAGATATGGTTACACTAAGAACATTATCTTTCCAGAGCTTTAAGGTAATAAAGCAGCGCTTGTCAAAGTGTATTTTCTTCTCAATAACTTCTAGGGAATTGTTCACATAGAGCAGCTGTACTTGTACATACTGTTTTGTTAGGCTTCAAGTGCTGGAAGAGGAACACTGAGTTTCATTTTTTAGCAGTATTACCTGTGATTTCACATGAGGTTCTCTCAAATTTGTACAGATAATCACAGATCAAGTTTATATTATCACCTCCATTAAAAGAAAAACAGATGAAGGGAAGGCCAAGGTCATTATGTAAATTTGCATCAAGGACATCAAAGAGTTCAAATTCCTCAATCTCTTTTCTGCTGAGACCAGGATTTTTTTTCTCTATGGTTATTCTGCCCTTCAAAAGATTCAGGTTCAGATTAAAGACAAAATGTTAAGGATGTACAACTTAATGTTATATATTTGGGCAGCATATATAGTCCATTGAAGTTGACAAGCCAATAAATTAAAATAAACAAATGAACAAACAAACAAATATTCTTTCTCAGTCATCTTTCACCTGATTTCAGTAGGATCTACAATCCAGCAATTGCATTTATGATTCCATCCCAAATATCTGAGCTAAATTGAACATGCTAAATTTCTATTATTTTAAGATTAAAATAGTTTTTATAAATGCAACTTTCATTTCTATACTTAATGCTTAAAAGATTGGTTATGCTTAAAGTAGAAAGAGACAGAATATAAAGGACTCAGTGTATAGAAAAAATAGGTAACTTGGAATATACGTATACTGTGCACCTCTTCCAATTTCCTAATCCTGCTAAAGGGATTATCTCATTTTAAAAGAGCTGCTTGCTAAATTCAGTGTCCCCAGTAATAATCTGAAGATTTGATGGATTTCTTTCCTGCTTGGCACACATTAAAATAGGTGCTTGGATTCCTGGCATGCTGACAGATTGTCAAATTTCTTAACTGAACAACAGCTTGGCAAATTTAGATGACACACACTTTGCAGGGGTTGAGGCAAGGTGACTAAAAATGAATTCAGAATAATCTGACAAGGTCATACCAGGTAGTTTTGGTTTAGCATATTCATTAAATTTGTTCACGTAGCAGATATAAAAGATAACTGTCTAGAAAGCATAAATCATTACTTATATAAACTTTCAGAACTGACCACAGCAAATTGTGGCTACATTTTGAACGCAAATATTAAGATTTTCCAGCAAATTACTTAATGTAATTATGTACGTAAATAGATTGCCAATTATCTCTTTGGGCTGCTTTGTTTCCAGATAAAAGTTGCTTTGAACATGTGAAATTCTGCAGCCACAGTCTTAAATAAACAAACAAGGGGGCAAAAATAAAGCCTTTTTTGTTCTTGCTATTATCTTTTGCAGATTTTACATTCTCTTAATGGACACACATAAAGTTGTATTTTCTATTTTCTCCAGTGGCTCCAAATTGAAGGAAATGTCTTTTCTAAAGCCTAAGATCCCTTCAAGTATGGCCAGGGTCAGCCAATAGACTAGCCCTATCATAAACTCCACCAAAGATCCGAGCCAGGTTTTCATTTGCCTCAAAATGCTTGCAGGTAGGAAAACTCTTGTCTGCAAAATCCTGGGCTCACAAATAGTTTGCACTGGCCAATCTCAAAATTCATAGCCAGCCCAAAGAGCTAAAATCTGCCTCTGTCGCCTAAACGGGTGGGATTCACATACACCGAAGTCATTCACTGTTTTACTGCGTGGCGACATTTATACGCTTTGAGGGATCTGGAGCGTGAAGATTTCTCATCCTACAGTACTTTGACGCAGGAAGGGTGACACATCGTTGCCTGCCTAGTTCGCGTTCTACCCAGGGGCTCTGGTGCCTTCGGGGCTCATCAAAGTCTTGAGGAAAGAAATACGCGAAGAAATGGTTCAACCCAGCCCGGCTTTCAACGGTCCGAAGAATTTAAATTTTACCTGGCCTTGGAAGCACGGCGGACCAAACACAGCCCGAGCGCCGGCGCGCGGAGGGTTAATCCTAGGTGCTGCGCTCCCGCAGGGGCGACCCTCTCAATGATAACAAACGATCACGTGGTGAATCAAGCGGAGGGGGATGGTTGTTTCACCTCTCCTTCCTCTCTGCGCAAACGTCACCCCACCTTCCCGGTCACCAGGGCGACGGGTCCATCTGGGCGCGCGTCAGAACAGTCCGTCTCTTGGCAACGGCTGGATGTCTCTCTTTCCCTTCTCATTCAGCCTCACGCTTGGTCGCGCGTCGCTCTGGCGTCAAAGTGACGTCAATGGGTCTGTCTCGGTTTTCGAGGTGGGCGGGGGGGGAGGGCTTCCCGCGTGTTCCTCTGCCCCCGGCGCGCAGAGAGCTCGCTGGCAGCCGGCAGAGCAGCCGCGGCGGTGCCACGAGTAGTAGGAGCAGCGGCGGCAGCTTGAGAGCCTGGCAGCCAGACGAGCGCAGAGGCGGCAGCCGCTTGGCAGCCGGGCTCAAGGTACAGCTTCGGAGCGAATCGCACGGGCAGGGCTGGAGCGGATGCTGCGAAAGCTTGCGACGCGGTTCTTTCTTTCTTTCTTTCTTTCTTTCTTTCTTTCTTTCTTTCTTTCCTTTCTTTCTTTCTTTCTTTCTTTCTTTCTTTCTTTCTTCTTTCTTCCTTTCCTTTTTCCTTCCTTTCCTTCTTTCTTCCTTCCTTCCTTCTCTTTCTTCCTTCCTTTCCTTCCTTCCTTCCTTCCTTCCTTCCTTCCTTCCTTTTCTTGCCTGCTGTCTTGCCTGCCTTCCTTTCTCTCTTTCCCTCTCTCTTTTAAGTCCACACGAAAAACCTATTTGCGAGTGTGAGCGTAGATTCTCGTTTGTACACCCCAGATCCCATCCCATACATTTTTACTGGGACTTTTGTTGCTTGGACAGTAGAGTTTGGAGAGAATTCCCAATTCTTCCCAAAGATTTAACAGGCTATATTTACTCTCAGTTTATACATCTCATTCTTTATTTTTTAATTAACTTGGAGCTCTGACCACAGAAAAGCAGGGGAAGCTTTCTGTTGCCTCAACTGCATTAGCTTTGTCTCGGTGGAAAGTCCAGCGCACCAATTTCTGAAGTGATCTGGGTACGCCTTTAACGGGGAAAATTTCAATGCACTTTTCTTTCTCTGCAGGTGCAAAGTGCCATCTTCAAAAAGGAATGCTTCTGCCGACATCCTTCTAATTGGTGTTTGCCCCCCACCAAACTCAAATCATGGTGATCATGTCAGATTATACAGCCGTTCCCACCTCAAGCCAAAGCCACCAAAAGCCTCTTCGGGTTGGATTTTATGATATTGAGAGGACCTTGGGAAAAGGCAATTTTGCTGTGGTCAAACTTGCCAGGCACAGAGTAACCAAAACGCAGGTGGGTGTGAGATTGTACTGCCTTGCCTCATAGAGAAAATTAATCATGATACATTGGGAGACGGTACTCAGTGGAATTAATCAATTTTCCAAATGTACAATAAACCAATTTACACTGACAGGAACTCCCTGTGGTAGACAGTAATGAACAGAATATAGTTTAAGTACTAGGTAATAGCAAATTATTCCACACTTCAAATAGTTCCCCAAATGAATATAAAGTAGAATGACACTAAATCATAGAGACGTCTTTTGTGGCGTTGATTTCACAGTTATTGCTGGCTTAATTATAAATATTGTTATCCTACTATTTATTTATTTCTAAATGATTGCTACTTTTTAGAATAAGAGTTATGCATTTGGGGCTAACTTTTTTTGAAGAAATCAAATGGGTGTAACTGAGTATACATGCTTACAATCTTTGTTCATCAATATTTGAATATTTGATAATACGGTAACATTTGGAAAATGCTGAAATTATACTTTGAATCTGGATTGCACAAAGCATAGAATATCAAGAAGTAGATATCATATTGACTGGGCAGTAATTAAAATATTTTAGATGTTGCATTATTTTAATTTTCACATGTATTGTATATTGTCTTCCTTAAAATATGCTTAAGAAGGAGTTTATGTAATTTTATAGTTTTAGTTTTCCTATGATTTCACAACTTTTGTACTAGTATTACTTGCAAGCAACATAACATTTTATGAGTGCTCTGAGTTTGTTTGGTTTTTTTTTGTTTAAACCTTAGGTTGCAATAAAAATTATAGACAAAACACGGTTAGATTCAAGCAATCTGGAAAAAATCTATAGAGAAGTTCAGATAATGAAGCTATTGAATCACCCCCACATAATTAAACTGTATCAGGTAAGAAATGATTTCAGATTACTGCCTGCCTGTTAGATATATTTCGGGCTTTATGAATGTAATGATCTTAATAATACTTAATTCCATTACAAGATGGACGTATTATTTCAGATCAAAACATGTTAAATAGTTTAAATTAGAATGCTTCCAGAATGCTGACACACTGAGATTTAATTCTTTTTGTTTTTAAATATACTTGATATTTATAAAAAATATTTTGTTTATAGTATATGGAAAATTTTAAGAGAAAACTTCAAAATTCGGTTCATATATCTTTTTATGTTCACAGTTTAAAGTACAAATTGAATCTGGATATACTTCAAGCATATATATTTTAGATCAGGCTGCCACTTAGAAGTTTCCTTAAAATCTTATTTTAAAAAAAAGAAAAAAGAAAAGCCAGAATGGAATGCTATGCAATTTCCATCTAGTTCACCCTGATTTGCAGTTGTTACATTCTATAAAAAAAGAGAGCAAATTGGTATATTATGCAGATAATGAATTGTAATCCTCTGAATAAACAGAATTGATCATATGTGAACTACATATTTTTAACATTACTGTTTGATAGAAATACCTACATGCTATTAGAACAATCTGTCTAATAAAGAGGAAAATATGTTTAAAATATTTCTGAAACATACAACAGAACCAATTTTCTGTATAGCGTGCAAATGCCTATCATAAACTTGCCAATAAACATCTTGCTTTTTAGGGAATAAACGAGTAGCTTAAGAAATACAAAAATGATAAGCAAAAAGGCATTTATATAGAGAATTTATTTTTAAAAAAGGCTTTGCCATTGCAATATTTGTGAATTTCTGCTATCTATGGTCAGTCTACACGGCAATATAATATGGTTGAGTTTATTTTGATTTTACTTCCATAGAAAAATAAATATTTCAGGAGGTTTAAAATAATTAAATACATTGTATTAATTGGCTATTTGAATAAACAAACGAAATGGTTTGGGGAGCTTTGTTGGAACTCCCAATTTACATATTTCATAGCTGTTGCTATTGTGCTTGATGCTTCTCTTTGATGGAATTTGAGCAATAGGAATTAGGTGAAATGCCACTTTGGGGGTGGAAGGATGGTGTTGACATAATTTTAACAGCACTGTCTAATTTTAATCCAGCTGGCCTTTTTCCCAGAACTTTTTAAATGCCTTATTCCTTCCTATCTCTCTCGCCTCCAATAAAATACACCTATGTTTTTATTATGTGTAGGATGCAAGTGCTTTTTTGTGCCTTTGATATTTAAGCTTCATTAGACAATGTTAGAATTTATAGCTCTTGAAATTTTACACAGAGACGCGTACATGCACTCATTCATTCATCCATCCATCCATTCATCTCCCTGATATTTTTATGGATATGAGATACAAGTCAACATCTCCATACTAAAATGTTCCAATTATCCTTGAAGGAATTTCCTTTGACAAATTCCAATAAATAAATATAAATAAACAAACAAACAACTAAATAGCTTGTTTGTTCCTTAATGTATATTTCAAATTTATTTGTCATCTGTTTTTTCCAAGTCAGATGATGAATTGTATTAAGTGGAGTTAAATATATGTCTTATCATTATATATGTTTTGGTAAATATTAATTAACACAAGAAATTAATATCATTTAATGAGGAATTATATGCCAATCAGATGTCTGCATGCAAAGATTGGCTTCAGGCAGGGAAAATTAGGTTTTCCTGTAGATCTTCTCTGTAAGTCTTCTCTGTAGATTAAATACTGGTAAACAAGGAAATGCATGTGTTGTGCTATTATAAATGTGTTTTATCTTCAAAGGCATATTCAGGATTTCAGAAGTTTACATCTTTGATATGTTGTTTTTCTGTCTCATATTCATCAGGTTATGGAAACAAAAGATATGCTTTACATTGTAACCGAATTTGCAAAGAATGGTGAAATGTTTGGTAAGTTCTCATGGCATATTAGTACATTATTAACAACTACTTGCTTTTTATTCATTTAAATAACAGGGTCTCCACCATTCTGAATTAGACTGGAGTGGCAGACAGATAGAGAATTACAGAAAGAAAGGCAAGCCAGCAAAAATCCTGCCCCTTTTCTCTACTTATGGAAACTTCTGGTATATCATAGACTCTTCATCAACTGAAGAGTCATAATTAGTTACAAATCTCTGGCCATCATGGAATGGTTTATACTTCACACTAAACAAAAAGCAAATAGAGTATATGTTGACTTACTACTTTGTGCGAACCAATCCTATGTCTGCTGTAGATTGAGCTGTCCAGTAGTAATATATAACTTAAGTAGCTGAAGTGCAGCTAAGCACTATTGCTGAGTACATTGTAAGCCGCCCTGAGTCTCCGGAGAAGGGCGGCATATAAATCAAATTAAAAAAAAAAAAAGTAAGGAGGTTTATTTGTAGATGTTTTTAAGAGGTTATTGAAGCTGATATTAACGTGAAGACATTTCTGCCCTTTTAATCATGTTTGACAGATCACTTAACTACACGTGGGCACCTGAATGAACATGAAGCTCGGAAGAAATTCTGGCAGATACTTTCAGCTGTGGAGTATTGTCACAGCCATCACATAGTACACAGGGACCTCAAAACGGAGAATCTTCTCTTAGATGCTAACATGAATATCAAGCTTGCAGGTGAGAATGCCGTCACTGCAAAACATTTCATGTTTTCCAATTCTTTTCTCATTAGAAGTTTATTATATGCTTCTGAAAGAGACACAGCCTTGAAATCTACATTTGAAAATCAATAAAATGGATGTGGTGGTCTTTGATAATTGCCAGAATAGATACAAATACATTTACTTATTCATATATTATTAATAATAGAGACTGATGTTTTATTCATCTTCCTTTCTAGACTTTGGATTTGGAAACTTCTACAAATCTGGTGAACCTCTGTCGACCTGGTGTGGAAGCCCACCTTATGCAGCTCCAGAAGTTTTTGAAGGAAAGGAATATGAAGGCCCATATCTTGATATATGGGTAAGCTGTAAATCCCATATTACCCACCTGGTAAGATACCAAAAGAATGATATAGTGTACTTCATTGACAATATATATTATTATGTTGTTGACAGAGCCTTGGTGTGGTGCTGTATGTCCTTGTCTGTGGTTCTCTCCCATTTGATGGACCCAATTTACCATCTTTAAGACAAAGGGTGCTAGAAGGACGATTCCGTATTCCCTATTTCATGTCCCAAGGTAGGATTTATATTTCTTTTAACTTTAACACTTTCTTGTTTTATATTTTAATGTTTTTAAACATTTTGAACATACCATTATTTATGTGGTATTTTAGCATTTTGAATGAAAGCTTCCTCTAGCTCTGTATGGAAAATATAGTGTTCTTTTTCTACATTCAAAAGCATTCAAAATGTAAATGCTACATAATAAGATTTTTCTTTAAGAGAAAAAGGTCATAATATACAATATATTTTTAGAATTTATTTTAATCTTTCAATCACTGATTATTTTGTCTGTAGCTGAATTGTTATCCATTGACTAGTACTTAAATAAGCTTCTTGTGAAATTAGTACAACAGAACCCTTCAAGTTATGCTTATAAAATTTTAAAAACAACTGAAATTCCCTAAGATTTTGTAAAGGAAGTAGGAAATAACTATGGAGATAGATTAGTCTTACTTTTTTGGGGAATAAGGAGATTTGAACACTAATTTAACTTTTAAGTTACCTCTTTGCCTTTTATTTTTATATTCAAATGTTACTGTTCTTGTCTTCTAAATAAATCACCAGATTGTGAAATGCTTATTCGACGGATGTTGGTTGTGGATCCTACAAAACGAATTACAATTGCTCAAATAAAGCAGCACAAGTGGATGCAGGCCGACCCATCTCTTCAGCAGCAGCACTCTTTACCCTTCTCCATGCAGAACTACAACTCCAACCTGGGAGATTATAATGAACAGGTCCTCGGGATCATGCAGACTCTTGGCATTGACAGACAAAGAACGATTGAGGTGAGTTTTTGACACCTTACTCTGAAAAGCCACTGTCTCTCTTGGACCATATGAGGTGAGCCCTTTAGGAAAGTGGCACATGTTTGCTTATCAACTATCAGCACATTGCTAAAAATGCATTCCTGTGTAGCTCATATAATTTTACATTTGTTTGAAGATTCTAGACAGGAATGCTTTTCAAATGCTCAAGCTGGCATGAAATTTAAAATTTGAAATCATAGAATGTTTGGTTCTGAGAATCCCATTTTTTTTCCATTCCTGAAGAAGCTCACATAATCCCTAAATTTGCCTTTATAACAATGGCTAAACCTTACTCTTTGAAGTATAACTCTTCTAGCCAGTAATTTTAAATATCTTATTTTGTGATAAACTGGTGGGGTTAGAGGGGGCAGAGTGCATGTGTGTGGGGTTGTCTTTCTATCAGATAGAAGTTTCTGGGATTAGTGAATAGATGGCTATTCCTTTTTAAAATGTATCTGTGCACTATAATTAGTTTCTGTCTCCATTTCCTGTAGTCTTTACAAAACAGCAGCTACAATCATTTTGCTGCAATTTACTACCTTCTTTTGGAGCGCCTCAGGGAGTACCGTAGCAATCAATTGTCGCATCGCTCAGTAAGCAGTCGCCAGCAAAGACCAAGAAGTTCAGACTTCAGCAACCTTGAGGTAAGGTCATATATAATCATTTTAGGTCAGCTAAGTTAAGTCAGCTGAATTCCCCATGCAGGGTTTTCCCCCCCCTCCTTCTCATCTTAGAGCTGAACCATAGTTTAGAGTGACAGAAGGAGGCATCTCCCTCATCGTTTTTTGTTTAATCTTGTGACCAAAGGGCATATTTCAGCAGTTCTGGAATAAAGCATATTTCATTGCAGGTTAAAATCAAAGTTTGAATTCTGATAAATAAATTAGAATAAATCATGTAAGTGTTAAACCATTTGCTGTAGGAAATCTTGTGCATTCAGCATCAGCCTGCAGAGCTGTCACAGTTAGCTGGCATTGTACTTAATGTTTTACTCTCCGGTTTATTTTTCTGAAATTCAAAAACTAAACTCAGGATATGTATTTATTAAAGGACAAATGAATTAGTTATGCACATTTTGTGGGAGCTTCATCACTGGAAGCTTTCAAGAAGAGACTGGACTACCATTTGTCAGAAATGGTGTAGGGTCTCCTGTTTAGGGGGAGAGGTCCATTCCTATTCTGTTAATCTGTTATCTGTTATTTATCTAGATTGTGCAGAAGGTCAAACGAAAATGTAGTTGATCATTGCTTGGTTTTGAATCTCTTTAGTTGACCCAGGATAAAATTGCCAGTGAGAACTTGAGATCATCTCTGCTATACCATCAGTCTCCGAACCTGATTCAGTCCCCTTTGCAGGCAGATATGGATTGCGACCTGAACACCCCATTACAGGTTGGTGCTCTTAGCATTCTGACTTAATAGTTGATTGGAGGCTCTCAGGTGAAACAGGAATCCTAGAACCAAAGAGGCTTAAGGCTTAAGTTTAAAGATCTATCTTTTACTTTTACCCTCCAATGTCAATCTGTACGTTATCACATATGTCTTCTTGGGAAAAAAAATTATAGAGGCACAAACAACACTGCCCAAAGTTGCTTTTTGTGAGATGGGTGGCCATATAAACCTGATAGATAGATTAAATAAATAAAGGCACTGTATTATTCCTTTTATTGTTTTACTTTTCAGCCCTTGTTTTTTCCTATGGATCCGAACTTCAACACCCTTTTCAGGAATCGTTCCATCTCTCCAAACAGCCTCCTGGAAACTACAATCAGTGAGGAAGTAAGGCAGGACAAGGAACTGGAGGATGAAATCAGAGCTTTCAATCCAATTGGTTTCCCCATCAACACAAGTCGAAGGCACACATTGGCTGGAGTAACAACCCATTTTTATCAGCATTCTCCACCATGTAAGTGCTGTGAAGATGGGATGCAGAATAAATATTTAAAAAAGTTCTCTCTCTCTCTCTCTCTCTCTCTCTCTCCCTCTCCCTCTCCCTCTCCCTCTCCCTCTCCCTCTCCCTCCCCTCTCCCTCCCTCTCCCTCTCCCTCTCCCTCTCCCTCCCTCCCTCCCTCTCCCCCCCCAAACTACTGGAGCAGGATATTTTGGGCACTAATATTGTGATCCAGATGCTTTAGCAATAAAATTGTCCCACAATCTTACTCTGTAGTTAAAGTTACATTGAATTGAGTTTCATATTGTTTGACTTCAGCCATAGTACTGCCTAGGGTTTTTGTTAAGAGTAGATCTTTTGTAAATAGAAAAGGTTCATTTTATATCCAATACTGTTATTTTCTGTATCAATTTCACAAATGTTCCCTTCTGCCTGGTTTTTTTCAATATAGGTATAGTCATTTCCTCTTCTGCAAGCCCTACAGAAGGAACCAGTTCGGACAGCTGTCTCCCTTCGTCAGCAAATGATGGCTCTGAAATGCTGAGCAACTGTTTGGAAAATCAAATGAACCTTGGTCACCCAACCACAGCTAGAGTTACATCATCATTCCTGACTTCCCATTCAGATACCCCAGTATTGCAAACTCAGGGCTGCAGGGGTGGTACTTCTCTGTTGCCTGTCAGTTTCCAAGAAGGAAGGAGAGCTTCTGATACCTCATTAACTCAAGGTAATCTTTCCTTGTACACACATAATCCAGAGCCACTAAATATTCTTTAGCTCTACAGTAGAAGTTTTAGACATTTGCCTAAACATGGTCTACTATACACCATGTTATATGCCTATTTGAAATTGTGGCCATGCTGGTATTTATAAAGAGACCTGCAAGTTATTTATACTCACACAAAGAGAACATACATACATATGAGACAGAGGAATGTGTGCGTGGGAATGTATGTGATGAAATCAGATGATAATCTGTGGCTGTCATTCAGGGTTGCCTAAGGTGGGAAAGGAGGGATATAACCTTGAAGATAGCTGTTGCTTAAGGCAGGCATTATTTATTAGATCATGTGTTTTTCTGTTGCTCTATAGGCTTGAAGGCATTTAGGCAGCAGCTCCGAAAGAATACTAGAGCCAAAGGTTTTCTCGGACTGAATAAAATCAAAGGCCTTGCTCGCCAGGTGTGCCAGTCCTCCTCTGTTCGGATAGCACGGAATGGCCTGGGCCCTTTCCAGCATTCTCAGCAGAATACCTGCATATACAGCAGTGGGGGAAATGGTAGCAGCAGCAGCAGTAGCAGCAGCGGAAGTGGCAGAGAGAGCAGGAACTTACTTGAAGAGGTGCTCCAGCAGCAAAGGTGAGCATGTAGCCTCTGTCATGAGAAACGCTCCTTAGACTGCAGCCTTTGCAACCATAGTAATATGTATTGACCTTGGGCTCTCTTTGAAATCAAATGCATGGTTTATTTATTTTTTTACTTTATAAAGATTCTGGAGAGGTTTATTGACTTCTGCATCACTTTGAAATAAAGTGCTCAGGTTTAAACATATTTTAATGATATCAAGTTATTGGGTCCTCAGTGCTTCTGTTATTATTAGCTGGATTTATTTGGAAAAAAATTGTTTTATGATTTAAAAGATTTTTAAAAGATAAAAGAAAGATTTTTGTGCTCTTCATTGTTTTTCCGTGACATTAAAATAAAACTATTCTCAACTCGGTGCCCTTGGGAACATATGCTGATCAGATCAGTAATGCTGGCCAATCATTTGCAGATTAGGCCTTTTTTGTATTACCTGTATGTCCGTGAACTTAACATGCATTGACACATCCATATATTTTGTATGGCTACGACATACATATTTTTGCTGCTGTAAGCTGCAAGAGCCTAGAGAATGGACTGGGTCAGCATGATACCTGTCCCTTACTTCGCATAAGGTTGGAATGTTTTGTGGGGCTAGAATAATTTAAGGAAAGTTGCTGCACTCTTAATCCCAACAGAGTTAGAAGAATGGCAATAGTGGGTGAGAGCAACATTAGAAACTTAGGACAAGTGGGTAACCTCTTTGCTTTCTCTTTCTTCTGTTCAGAATGCTCCAGCTACAGCATCACCAACCAACCTGTCACCAGCCTTCTCAGTCGCACAACATAGAGCTCGCTTTACATAACACTCGGTTTCTTCAGCCTCACCTCTTTGGAGTTGCTGTCTCTCCAGTAACTTCAGCTGCTCACCTTCTCGATACCCATCTACATATTAGTAGCAGTGTATCTCCAGTTGCCTCTATGTTTTCTCAACCAAGTCATTTTACTGTGCAGCCTCTGAGCTATGACACAGTTACTTTACAGCATGGGGACTGTGAAATGGAGGATCTTACTTCAAACCAGATGGGGAAATTTGTCTTAGTCAAATGAGATTTTTCTTCTGTTTTCTTGATCATCATCTTCAGGAGAGAGCAGTTCTATTACTAAAACCTACAAATGAGAGATTTTATTTTGCTAAGTGAATATCAGAAGCAATAACATGTTTGAAATATGTGAAGAGGCCATTCATTTGAAGAAGCTCATGTCTATAAAACTGAAAAAGCAATACTTAGGTCCTTTGGCTTCAATATTCTTGCACTGAACAAATATAATGAGAAAACCTTTTTGTTTAGTAGAAACTAATGAGTCGGGGGGGGGCAAGAGGAAAATAATGGTTTTCTGGTACTGTATTAAAGTCAGATCTGCTGTTATATAAGAGTAAATGGTTGTTTCTGGTTCTGTTGTAACAGGAAAAGCCTTTTCAAAGAAGTGATTAGTGTTATGGTATTCCAATTCACTTCACTTGTTTATGGATTTGTGAAGATGATTACCTCTTATAAAAACTATCACGAAAACTCACAGTAGCATTATGCATTGTAGAAATATAATGCTCAAAGCATCTCCACTTTTTATGTTCATGCTAATAAAACCAACACTTTTCAGTTTTTCTTCCCTACTCAGATGATCATAGCTTGATAAAACTGTGAACATTTTGCTTAGTAACTCTCCTGTAGAAGCTAAGAAAAATTTGTAATTACGAGAAACAGTTAACATTATAAGCAACACTGAGGATTTTGTTCTGAGACTACAAACTGTTTTTCTGTCTTTGTTTCTCTTTAGCAAGAGAAACTTAAGAATATATTATGTATTGGCTTGGAATTGCTCATAACTGCTTTAGGAAATATTAGGGTGAAATAGCAAGAGCTGTTGGGGTGGAAAATATATAAACAAAAGTTTTGTTTCGTTTTCCTTCTCAAGCCATGACCTCACTTTGAGGGTGTGTGCTAGGCATAATGTTTTATAATGCTGTACACATTTATTGCTGCTACAAATGAAATTTTTATGCATTTCCTTTCAGGGTCCAAACTGAACTGGCTTGTTGGGAAAAAGTGCAATATTTTAAAAATAAAACAGTTATTTTGGCAGTTGAAAGAATAAGAAAGCACAACAGTGATTTTTGAACAAATTAGTTACAATGGGAAGAACAGCACAACTTTGGGGTTTTGTTGCTTTGTATCTGAACAGATTGGTTTTTCTAAAAAAAAAAAACTAGATTTTTTAATGTGTAGTTTAATATGGTCTGTTGTGTGCACACATAACAGGAATTGGAAATCATGACACACTACGAGATAGCCTTTTGAATAAGCTCTTTTTTTTTGGTTCATGACGTATTGTCTCTTACCATATGGTGGCTTCTATCTACATTGGTGGAAGCCAGGCATAGTTTGGCACAGAAAGGGAAGATGGTGGCCATCCTCCGTCAGTGGGTAGAGGAGGATGAAGAAGTAGGTTAGGAGCAGGTGAGCATGCGGTGAGCCATCTGGGCTCCGAGTTACGATTTGGATGCCAAAACTAGTTCATCCTGTCTACTTCTTTAAGGACCCATCTCTCTAAAAATAACTCGGGTGCCTTCAAGTTGCTGCTGCTTTGTGCAGCCTGCAGTGTTATATATGTAAAAAAAGAATATATAATATATATATAAATATATATATATATATATATTAAACAAATAAACCAAAGATTGTCTGGCAGATGGGAAGAGGGGACAGGTAAGATGATATATGTTCAGTGACTTTGTTTGTGACTCTTGAGTTTCATTCATTCATGTATAGTGTCTGCACGTCTGGGACCTTGGGTTGCTGTTTCTGCTGCTGCTGCTGCCTCTTTGTTTTGTAAGATCTTCAAGGTGAAGCTAAATTACTTCGTGTAATCTCTGACTGGTGCCTTTCAGCAAAAAAAAAAAAAAAGTAAGATAAAATAGTTTCTGTGCAAAGTGGCAGGGTAGATGGTTTTGAAGGGTGACTTCAACAAGGAAAACAAGGTCATGCCAAAGCAGCAGCATTGTCTTCATGTTCATAAAACAATTCCACGTGTTATTCCGAGAACAGTAGGCTTCTTTCTTTTGGATCTTTCTCTTTTATCTGCCGTGGATCAACAGGCCATAAAAACAATCTGTTTGTTCTAAGCAGTGACAAGCACTTTACTTCTAGAACCTCCTCTCCAAATGATAAAGAATATGCTTTCAATTCTTCGGAGATAGAAAAAGGTCATTTTCAACATTTCAGGGTTTGTGCATTGCTTCTTCTCCTTGTCATTCTTGACAGTACTGTTTGGCAGACTGCAATGCAATAGATTATTTAAAGACACTATGTGATTGATTCAATTAAGATGTACAGTTTTTATTTTTTATCATGACTGAAATCATTTTGTTTCTTATGTTAAAATGAGAGATGTGCACCAACTAATTAGTTGTGTTTTATTTAATATTTAAATAAAAAGTTGTTTAAAAAAAATTGTGATCAATGCTGCTTTTATTTTGAAAAATAATAAGTATGAATATATTTTTGGGACTCAAATCTGGACCTTGTTTCAGAATCAACGCTAGTGGATTAGGAAGAATAGGCCAATCCAGTGGTTTATCCTTAATCCAACAAGACCAAATGCCTGGGGATTTAATGGCCATTTGAAACGGGGGACTTTCCATCTTTAGTTCTATATTGGGTTACATTCTATATCAGAATGGTGTAAATTTGGGTTCCCTTGAACTCTCGGCTCTTGCTTGAAGAGGCGGTAGCACTGTGGATGCTTTTGTACAAATCCATGCTAAGTACGTTTCTTTCTGGATCAAGAGGCCATGCTCACAATCATTCATGCCTTGGTCAGTTTCTGCTTTGATTATTGTAATGAAGTCTATATGTGGGTGCCATTGCAGACTGTTCAGAACCTACAATTAGTTCAAAATGCAGCAGTGCGGGTAGTTACATGTATACAAATTTACTACATGAGCTGTAATGGCGCCTTACAGATTTCTGGGTACAATTTAAGGTGCTAATTATTATCTCTAAAACCATTCATAGCACAGGACCTTGCAGGACAATGTACATCAGATTGTTACTACCAGTCTTACAAGATCTGACAAATTTGGCACCTTTGGAATGATTTTTGAGAAGATGAACTTGACTGGGGCTCAGTCTTGGTTATATCCTATTGTGTTTGGCAATTTTTGATTGATTATTTCTGTTCTGTATTTTAATTCTATGTTACCTACCCAAAATTGTATTCACATGCTGGGCAGTCATAGAAATCCAGTGAATACATTCTATATCAAATCATGCCTCAGAAACATCATTTATTATAAGAAATATTTGTCTCACTTTTTTCCAGAAGGCATTTAAATAAAGGACCTTTAATAAAGAAGTCCTTTTCATAAGCAAGACAATAACACACACACACTTTCTAGTATTATTAATTATATTTGAAGGAAAAAATGAAAAAGCTAACTAAGAAAATATGGAGTAAAGTAAGAAGCATTGAGCATATATGAAAGATGACCAAAGCAGAATTATAAAAAGCTTTTCTGACTGATAAAGAGGAACATTTTATGCACATGAAATAAAATTCCTTGAATCATGTAAAACAAAAATACTGGGAACGAAGTAAAAACAGTTAATAAATTACAAGCTTCTCAACTGAAACTATTGCAACCATATAGTATTTTTTCAACTATTAAAAGATATCCAGGGTAAAACATAACGTTGCTGACATTCCAAAAATCAACTTTTTAAAAACTCTCAGTCTCAGTTATACAATACTGACTCAAACTTAACTGAAGAAGAAATTGATTTTTATAAAATAGCTTTCTACAATTATACATGATCATACTGTCTATTTAGCTGCACTTTTATCTGAGAACAACATAATATATGGAAACAGGGAAAGCTTCCAGTTTGGATGGTTATCTCATAGAGTGATATAAAAACCTACTGAGTCCTTGGACACAATGCCATTGGATTGATATCTTTTAAAATACGTTTTATCCCAGTCTCCTTCAATAAAGCTTATATAATTCTGATTTTGAAGGCTGATATTGTTTCTATGGCTGCATTAGCTAACCTTGTTAAATGCTGATGTAAAGTAAAATTAAGATAATCCTGGCACGTACATTACAAATGATAGTGCCTTTGGTTACCCATTTGGTTAATTAATCTGGTTTAATTACAGGCTGCCATGCATCTGATATTAGAATATTAGATTACTAATTGATTTGCTAGCTATGCATTCCTAAAGCTTTAAACAACTAGTGCTGATTTTGTTGCTTGTGGAAAATGTCTTTGATAAAATGCAGCAGAAATTTTTAACAGATTAACAGAGTTGGAAGGGACCTTGTAGATCATCTAGTCCAACTCCCCACCGAAGTAGGAGACCCTACACCATTTCTGACAGATGGTGGTCCAGTCTCCTTGAAAGCCTCCAGTGATGAAGCTCCCACAACTTCTGAAGGCAAGCTGTTCCATTGGTTGATTGCTCTCACTGTCAGAAAATTTCTCCTTATTTCCAGGTTGAATTTCCCCTTGTTCAGTTTCCATCCATTATTCCTTGTCTGGCTTTCATATGCTTTGGAAAATAGGTTGACTCTCTCCTCTCTGTGGCAGCCCCTCAAATATTGGAACACTACTATCATGTCTTCCCTGGTCCTTTTCTTCACTAGACTAGCCATGCTCAATTCATCGTATGTTTTAGCCTCCAGTCCCCTAATCATCTTGGTTGTTCTTCTCTGCACTCTTTCTAGAGCCTCAACATCTTTTTTATAGTGTGGTGACCAAAACTGAGTGCAGTGTTCTAGGTGTGATCTTACTAAGGCTTCATAGAGTAGTATTAGTACCGCACTTGATCTTGATTGTATCCCTCTGTTAATGCAATTTAAGATTGCATTGGCTTTTTTGGCCGTCACCGCACACTGTTAGCTCATATTTAATTGGTTGTCCACTAAAACTCCAAGATCCCTCTCACAATTATTGCTATTAATCCTGGTATCACCCAGTCTATATATGTACTTTTGGTTTTTCTTGCCTAAGTGTAGACTTTACTTTTCTCTACATTGAATTTCATGTTGTTAGATAGGGCCCAGTCTTCAAGTCTGTCAAGATCCATCTGGATCTTGAACCTATCATCTAGGATGTTGGATATTCCTGCCAGCTTAGTATCATCTGGAAATTTGGTAAATGCCCTTCTGTTCCCTCATCTCAGTCATTTATGAAGATATTGAAGCGTACTGGACCTAAGACGGAACCTTGTGGTACCCCACTGCTTACTTCCCTCCATGTAGCTGTAGTACCATTAAGGACTACTCATTGAGTACAGTTTGACAGCCAGTTACAAATCCATCTGATGATGATGCTATCTATCCCACTTTTTTCCAGCTTACCAAAAAGTAGGTTGTGCTCTACTTTGTCGAATGCCTTGCTGAAGTCTAAGTATATTATGTCCACAGTATTTCGGTGGTCTACTAATTTAGTTACTATGTTGAAGAATAAGATTGGTTTGGCATCAGTGGTGGGTTTCTACCGGTTCACCCCAGTTCGGGCGAACCGGTAGTGGTGGCGGCAGGAGGCTCCACCCACCTGCCTGGACGACATCACGGATGCTCTGCGCACGCACAGAAGGTTCATATTTATGACCGCTTCTGTATTCATGTGATCACCTTTTGTGATCAAGCAAAGTTAATTAGGAAGCTATGTTCATTTAACTTATCAACTGCAGTGATCCACTTAACAACAGTGGCAAGAAAACTCATAAAATAGGGCAAAACTCACTTAACAAATGTCTCATTAACAACAGAATTTTTGGGCTCAATTGTGGTCATAAGTTGAGGACTACCTGTACCATCTTCTGGACATGGCCCAACAGGAAGGGCACTAGTGTCAGTAAAGCTAAGTGATCTAAAAGAATATGATGGTGGACAATATAGAAAGTTCCTGAGATGTCCAGGAGAGAACCATATTTCTTTGATGTAGTTTCCAACATTAGTCATCCATCCAGGTGACCAAATAAACCTTGGTATTTTAAGGTCCAGAAAATCAGTTTCTTTCAGGTACTTCTGCAACCACTTTTTTTCTCAATCACATTACTAAATCTTCTGGGTCAAGGGACAGCTTTTTAAATGCATCCATTTTTGCAGATAAGTATTCAAAACACCAACAATATTTTGGAAGATTCCAAACCTCACTGCTTCATAGAGATAATATGTCTTTACAAATATTTGTTAGATTAGTCTAGTGTACATGTCCTGAGCTTTGTCAGAAGCATACCCAGTTTAAAATGAGTAGCTGCAATAGTAGTAGAATATTTTAGAAGATATTCCCTCAAGCTAAAAACAATAACAAAATCACAGATTTGCACAGTTACTGTGTAGCCCCGGTCAACCCTCCCCCCTCCCTAGTTGGGCAACTATTAGGCCCTATGACTAACATGCTTGCCCTGCCGGTTTCTGTTCGATGGAGGCGGTTCCCACCTATTTTCCATCTATTTTCTTGCCTGTTCTATCCATCTGTACGCTGCCTGTATGAACATTGTGGACAGCTTATTTCCTTCTGGAGACTTTGGACCTGGCTCTGTTTGTTATCCAGCACGCTGGCTGTATGGAAAATGGCAGCTTACGGGAGGATGAATGGAGCCGGTTTTTATCATTGTTTCACCACTGATGGGATGTATCATCTTCCCCATGGCCAGTTGGCCAACCATCCTGAGAGGCTGGTTGGACGATTACTCCCGAGTTGGTTGGAACGTTGGACTCCCCCACTGCCGTGAGAGGACAGTGGAGACTCTCCCATTTATGGTCAACCTGCCTTGTTTCTTTTAGGACATTTTGGACTAACATAGTGGAGCCCTTGGCCATACCTTATCACTACCTCAGAGCTTTAGATGTATTTAAGGTCACAGCTTCTTGCCCTGCGAGACTCCCCCCTCTCGCAAGCCTGG